AAGCACATTTCGAAGTCAAAATGCACAAAACACCACATGTTCGCGCCACTTTTGGAGGTTCGGATGTGGAAAAAGTGCACGCCGTTGTGGCGCGAAGCACATTTCCAAGTCAAATGTACAAAACACCTCAGTGTCGGACGGCTTTTGGAAGTTGCGATGTCGAAAAAGTGCACACCGTTGTGGCGTCAAAATGTACAAAACACTAGGGGTTCGGACCACTTTTGGAGGTTCAGATGTCGCTTCGCTTCAAGACACTACACTACAGGACATTACACTACACTACACTCCAGTACACTACATTACACTACATTACACTCCAGTACACTCCACTACACTAAATTATTCTACACCACACTACATTACACGGAATGACACTGCAACACAGATAGACAGGTAGACAGCTAGACAGATAGACAGATGAAAGGGAGAGATCGTTAGACAGGTAGGTAGATAGATAGATAGATAGGTAATTAGATGAAAGAGAGAGAGAGAGAGGCCAGCTGGGTAGATGAGATAGATGGATAGATGGCTAGACAGATAGACAGACAGACAGACAGACAGACAGATAGATAGATAGATACATCGATAGATACATAGATCGATGCATGAAGAGATAGATAGATACATAGAGAGATAGGTAGATAGACAGACAGACAGATAGATAGATAGATAGATAGACAGAGAGAGATAGATAGATAAATAGATAGATAGATAGATCGATCGATCGATAGATCGATAGATCGATAGATCGATACATAGATAGGTCGATAGATAGCTAGACAGATAGATAGATACATAGATAGGTCGATAGATAGCTAGACAGATAGATAGATAGATAGGTAGGTAGGTAGGTAGATAGTCAGAGAAAGAGAGAGAAATAGTGAGAGAGATCAATCACCTTTCTCTCCATCAGTGGCTTCGCTCTGCCATCCCTGATTCACAACAACCAACCTCTCCTATAGGTTTCCTATTTTTGAAACTTCCGCCACCGCCTTGTGCGGTACTACTGGTAATTGGGATATAGAGGGCTACATCCCCAGTTACTAACCAGTTAGCTAATCCCATGGCCCATCTAAGAATGGAAGGGCCACAGAAAGAACACCGACGTTGATGGTTTTCGGTTGTGATTTTCTGTTGATTTCTTGTGAGTTTCTGGTGGAAGGACCACAGAAAGAACTTTGACTGAGTCGAAGTCATGTTTTTTTTTGTGGTTTTCTCTATTTTTGTTTGTTTTTATCTGTTTTTTAGTTAGGTAGGTCACTAGTTTATTTTTTAAACAGCTTAGTTTTCCTTGATAGTCCAGGGTTGCTCCAACCGATTATAAATGATAGCCACAGGGTACATGGGTCAGTTTACCAGAAAAAACATTCGCCAATTTCCCATCCAAAAGTTCCGTGCTTGGAGCAACCCGGAGAAATGATGATGTCATGTTTTTAATCAACACATTTTTTTGTTTGGTTCGCAAAGTTGGTTTTTGATGGTTTATGTCACTGATATTTGGATAATATAATTGTTGGTTTATTCTAGTGGATATATCGAACTGGTTAATGGGGCAACCACATTTTTACAATATATGGGGATGCGTCAAACGTGTCAAAATAATCTTACTACCTAGTTTTACAGGGATTACAAAACAAGACATGAAGGATGAAAAGGCATACTTGCGCGTGTGTACATATATATATATATTATACATGATTTTGTTCAGTAGTGGAGATTCAACCGCCGGTATATTGGTGGCGCCCCCAATGATGTTTGTGTGTCCAAACAATCATTTTATTGATATACATATGTCGTTTATAGGAGTATGATCATGATAAACGCCAAAAAAATGGACATAGTTGTTCCCCATTATTGTACAAGGTTTCCCCATGTTTCACCATTTAGTTTGGCATCTATTTGCGATCCACTGAGCCATACATGCATTCTGAAATAGATAGAAATAGACCTAGACCGTCCTCCACAATCGAAAAATCATCCAAGTTTTATTGAAATTTGATTAAATTGTACATTAAAGTTTTATTGAACATATTGAAACTTGATTAGATTGTACATTAACAAAGCACTACGGAAAGCTCATGAAAAGCGTCATGCTGAGGCCATCCGCAGACGTGGAGTGCTGGACTGGGTCGCTTGGAAGTTTCCTACGTCATGGAGGTACCCCAAATCATCCAAGTCATGGATGACCATGACTTAGTATTGAAACTTGAAGCCCATAATGACTTGGATCCCCCATGACTTACCCCCCATAATATTATTATGGATCAAAATTTGATGTATTGTCCATTGGAATCAGATAATGACGGCCATATAGCCATATAGAACCCCCATAGATTTTTTGTTTTTTTGAAACACTATTTAATTTGATATGGTTCTAGATATACCCCTTATAGTTGTCCATCTGGTTCCAACTTCTAAAATGTTTGGTTCTATCATGCCACTTGTATTACTTGGAGCTTCATCCCACTTTCTGGTTCGTTAATGGAATACCCGCAGGAAACAGGGAGACAGGGAATGATGAAATTTGGGGTCCTGGGAACCGCTGGCGATTCCGATCAAAGCGATTTATGGGTCAAAAGTCAACATTTTTCTGGGCCTCGGTACTAGAAATAGTCGGTTGTTCTGATGATATGTGTGTTTCCTCAACTTATACATGCCTTTGTGATGCCTGTATGATTCCAACATCTAACTTCTGAACCTTCTGGTTCTGTCAGGTTCTATCCACGCATCTTCTACCATCAAATTTCTGAGTGGTCTGCGAACTCTTTTTGATGTTTCGCCAGTTCCCAAGTTCAATTCCTATACCTGGCTAAAGTAAACCTTGCTATATTATATAGCCAGACACGGAAATATGAACTAGCCAACTAAAGACTATATTTTGTGGAGTTTATCTAAGCTAAGCCTTGACATTAGCGCGGTAAATCCATTATAAGATATTATACCGTAAGCCTACCATTTGGGGATGTTTTTTTAATCACCCATTTACGGTAATATCAGGATGGGTTGTTGTTGGGTTTATCATATTATTGGGTATACTATTGGGTGTATCATTACCCCATGGTGCTGGTATATTTACCAACAATTGCCCGAACAAAATCACCCAGATCATGTAGGTAAATATACCAAACATGGAGCATATGGGTTGTATCATTGTTCTGTATTCCTTCGCAGGTCGATAAGCCAAAAATTGGTCGGCCGACCCCAGGTGAAACAAAGTGCTCACTTCAAGCGGCTCATGACGGTGTGCCCGGTTTTTGGTGCAGCCTGGTCGATTCCAAACTGAAAAAAAAAACAGTAAACTACAGTTATGGCACAAAATACCAGTTATAAGTACTAAGAAAACCCCATTTATAGAATGTATAATCCCATTTATAACAAGTTATCACTAATAAATGGCCATAACTGTAAGATACTGTAGCAATGAAAAATGACCATGGAAACCATATAAGAACAGACAAATCATCTACAAATGGGTCATGTTCCATGGATATGTTTAATTGCAGGATGGTAAATTAGAGCAACCACAATCAGGGAACCACAGGTGATGTTGCGTGTTCGATTCGTCGATGCAGAGTTAACGTTATCTCCACTTTTTGTCAAGATTTCCCAACATGACTTCTTTGCATGACTGGTGGCTCTCAATCGAAGTCCTGCACAGGTTTGGAAAGCACCAAAGTCTTGGAATGTTTCTCATCAACAGGGGCCCGGGGTCAGCCTTTTTAGACCAGAAAAGAAGTCGTTTTCTATCTACAAATTCGAGTTCGTTCTTTGTTTCATTCCCAGTTTTGAGTACCGGAGGGTAGCCAACGAACTTGGGGGTGTCTTACCAATAAAGTTGTATCATGTTAAAGTCCAGATGTTAGCTGTTGGATTCAAGTGTTTCTGTCTAAATCGTTGGGGCTAAGATTGGCCATCCATGAAATTTGCTGATAGTAAGGTACCGTAGTACACCATTCAAAACGGTGAATGCGCCTGCAAAGTCCAAGTGCGAGAATGATCTACCAGACCTTATAAATTTGGTGTTTATATCTATATAATTATATATATATATATATATATATAGATATAGATATAGATATAGATAATGTTAGATTTAGGGAGGGTAAGTTCCCTATTTGTATATCCCAAACGCTTCATGTATTCGATGTTTACCATACAGGGAAAAATTGTCAAACACAAACGCATAATTTTTCCCCGTAAAAGAAAACATGTGATATCTACCATGCAAGGACCGTATATAGGCCATATTCCCAATTCAACTTGACATGCTTTTATAGATGAAATGCGTCATTCTGTGCCCAAAGAAATCCTAATCATCATTAATCTTCCCATGATTTTTCCATGGTTTTCCCATGGATTTCCCAGAGATATCAGATGTCCTCCTTATACACCGCCCCACAAAAAACCAGCTCCGACTGTCGCGCCAGTCCCAGAGCTCCGCCCACGCCCAAGTGGCTGCGGAGATCGCCGCGGCGCCCTACGTCAAGGCCTGTTGAACACGGGACGAGTGACGAGTGACGAGTCCCCTTTCTTCGTTTATAGATGGATGAACTACAAGGTGGTGCCCCCTAGATAGTTAAGTTGGTTTATAACTCCCTTAACTATATGGTTTATGGCAGATATAACTATAGTTAATGGGGTTTATCAACCAATTTATAACTAGGGGGTACCACCTTGTAACTATGGTTACTGTACTATAACTATAACTGGTTGGTGGTTTGGGACATTTTTCATTTTTCCATATATTTGGAATCATCATCCCAACTGAGGAGCATATTTTCAGAGGGGTTGAAACCAACAATCAGTAGCTATGGTTACAGTACTATAAGCAGTTAAGTCCAATCGAGCTTCGACAAAAATGGTATAAAGCCATAATTCCACGGATTAGATCCCAACTGATCCCATAGTTATACCCATTTACAACACCTCCACCACACCCCCAGGTGAGTTTCTCATTTATAGATGGGTGAACTGCTGCCAGTGACTAACCAGTAAGGATCAATTTACAACCCCAACTTACCACTTACTCGTACTAAGTTTATCTGGCTGGTGGTTTGGAACATTTTTTATGTTTCCACAATATAAATAAATATATGGGATAATTCTTCCCGTTGACTAATATTTTTCAAGATGATTAAAACCACCAACCAGTTATTTATTCATGAATAGCTACTGAGCACTGTACTAAGTTACGAATGGTTACTAATATAATTAATATAATGTATAAATGGATTAAAACTATGGTTACTAACCGGTGACGAGTCGTGGGATACTCCTTAAGAAAACCGGTGATCGTAAGCCCACGATTTCTGAGCTATTCCGTTTAGACATATTGCTGAACTAACTATGGTTACTAAGCGGTTGAGGTAATAAATGTGTATATAATCACAATTATATGGATTATATGACTGTTATGATTGTATCCCAACTTGTGCGCGGTGGTGACAAAACATAGTTGTATGTATACGGTTTTTAACTGTAGTTATATCCATTCATTCCCATGGCGGGCTAACGATATGATGATTGTGACCAGTTACAAGGAGTTGATTTCTTTACAACTATTTTCTAAGCACTATACTAAGTTACGAATGGTTACTAATGCATGAATGGCTTATTTCGCAGGCGGAGGCGTCCTATGCTGCGTCGGAAGGGGAGTATCGCCATGCAGCACCTGGCAGCATTTTTGGGGCGTGGGCCAGTGACGACGTGGGAGTGCTGGAAAATCGTGGATCTTTCACCAAGAAACTCTGGGAACATGTAGAAAACTATGGGAAATTCATGGGAAAATATGGCAACTTATGGAACAGTCATGGAAAATGATGAAAATGATGGGAAAATCCTGGAAACTTATGGGGAAACTATAGGATACAAAGGAAAATGTGGTTAAATTCCAACGGCGTGGTAAACCAACAAAGCAACTGATTTGGGCAACCCAATGCCATAAACCTACCATGACTGGGGATGGTAAACATACCAGCCATAAACATGTTGATGACTTGGGAATGGTGCAAATGGCATTGTGTTTACCACATCACATTGCTGGGAATTATCCTCCGGGAATCAAAAGGCGGAACCAAAATGCAAATCCCAAATGCTCCATGGTGCTGGAATATTTACCAACATTTACATACATTTACCCTTAAAATCACCAGGTCATGTAGGTGAATATACCATACATGGAGTATATATGGGAATGTTTTGATACACCAAGAAACCCACATTTCTTCCGGGTAAATTGAAACAACAACATCACTGCGACATCACTGTGACAGTGATGGTTGGGATTGGGGGTCAACTATTCCCAGCCGAACTTTTGAGGTTGGTGAATTATTGTTGTTACCCTCCAGTAAACGAACATAACTATGGAAAATCACCATTGCTAATAGGTAAATCATCTATAAATGGGCCATTTTTCATAGCTATGTTAAATTACCAGAGGGTATTTATCCACATTTTGAGAGAAGGGATATAAAGAACAACCAATCAAAACTTGCATCTGCCTTCCAGTTGATTGAGACAAGTATATGGAAAACCATGGTGAACCCGGAACCCCCTTGGAAGCGAGCGACAAATTTGCATATCTATGTTGATTTGCTGGAGGTTACTCAGCAAGCCAACCGTTTCATTGGAATCATTGGAATGCCACTACCCTCTGGTAAACTAACATAGCTATTGAAAATTGCCATTTAGTTCGTGGATTTACCCATTAAAAATGGTGATTTTCCATAGTTTTTTGTATGTTTACCAGAGGGTAAATCATTGATCGTTTGTGGGGTTTACAGTTTCAAAGGATTGGAGTTTAGTTTGTTATCCCAAGAAAACTAAGAACACGTGAACTCGAAGCAGGTGATGCATTCTCACCACCATCCAGTTAACCCTCCGGTAAACTCGCAGAGCTAGTGAAAATGGCCATTGAGTGCGTTGATTTACCCTTATAAAAAGATGATTTTCCATACAATGTGCCCCCCTAGATAGCTAAGTTGGTTTGTAAACTCAAATTTCACCATAATATATGGATATTTATGGTACTTATAACTAGTATTCATAGGGGGTTTATAAAGCAGCTAAGATCACTAGGGGCGGCACATTGTAGTTATGTTAGTTTCCTGGAGGATTTTCACCCCATTTCCCAACTTCTCGGCCAAGGCCGCTGCCTGGAAGGCAGAAGAAAGCTCTGCGGAGCAGAGGGCGATGCGATTGCAGGTGGGGAAGTGGGTGCAAACTACTTAGATGGGCCATGGAGTTAGTTAACTAAGTTAACTAGTTATCAAGTGGATTGAAATTGGGATATAGGGCAACAAATCCCCAGTTACTAACAAGTTTCTAAGTATAACGCCAGTAACCAGTGAAAACAATACAAACATACCCTTATGCGAACCATGGTGCTGGTATATGCAAACCTGCATGACTGGGTGATGAATTGTTCGGGTAAATGTTGGTAAACATTCCAGCACCATGGAGCATTTGGGATACGATTCTGATGGGATTTATAGCTGACTTATGAATATTTATGATAGCTCAATGGTTTTTGGCTTACCTGCTTGGTTTATGGTAGATATATGGGGGTTTCCATAAATGGTGGTACCCCAAAATGCATAATTTATTTCATGGGAAATCCCAATCTAAAGTGGATGATTTTTTGGGGTACACCCTTTTTTAGGAAACCTCCATATCATGATATATCTATACTATTCTGTGGGTTATCCTACCTAACATTCACATCAGAAGCTGCACCGGAATCTGGGGTGGATCAATCCACGCGGGTGGAAAGGTTTGGAAACCATTGCCTCATCCCGCTTCTCCAAGGAAATAATTTCATGTTCTTTTTATTTACATATATATATATATATATACATATTACATATATGTGTGTGTGTACATTGCATTGGAAATCGGAAAAGTAGGATTGGTTCACTTATGATTGGAGTTCTCATCACTGCACCAAATATGTCGAACCCAGTTGCTGACCGTGCTTCGACCGAGTCACAGACAGACAGCTGCAATGCGGGCCCAAGAGAGAGATATATATATATATATCTTTGTTGGTTGGTGTATTTGGTGTTCACCCATACCTACAGATATATCTACCATAAACCATCATATACCATAAAATTTGTTTGGTCGATTTTGCAGGTCCCACATTGACTTCAGAAATTGACTGTGGTGTTAGAAGCCTCACATTTTTAAACACCGGCCAAAGGTCAAGGGCCACAAAAAATGGTTAATATATTATGTTAATATGGTTGGTGTTTGTATCCCCATTTCATAAAAATGATGTGAAGATGCCTTTTTTTTTAATGGTTGATGAAATGAAAACAGCCCTTCTTTCCATTTGCTAATCAAACATGGCTGGAAAATCCATGATTCATAGATTTTCCCATTCCCATAGGATCCATGTATGCTATATATGGTAACATGGATCCCATCAATATACCCCCAATGTTAGCATATATACCAGCACCATGGATCCCATGGGATTTAGTTCGGGGATTTTACAGACACCTTTGACGCCGCAACGCGGGTCTGGTTCATGCTCCAGGGCGACTCAAAAGCGGAGGAGGCCCAAGACTTGGCGAAGCGCGCGCAGGCTTTGGTTTTTTTTTTTTTATAAAGGGCGGTTTCCTCACCGAAAAACCAGACATGGACAGGACTTGACCGCGTCAAAAATCGGAGTAAACATTGGTAAACCATGTTTTGATGATTTGCTGGGCATGAGGTACTCAAAAAAATATATCCGTTCTTGTGGAACATGAGGGCCTCATGAGGGTATGTGATTTTCCCAGAGTTTGTTCGCCAAGTGTTTGGATCCCTATTCCTTGGCACTGCATGTGCGGTAGCATCCAGGTCTGTGGATCATCATGGATCAAGTTTCGTCTGTAGGTGAAGATCTCGATGGCTGGCTTCCAGTCCCATGTTTGTTGTGTATATATATATATACATACACTGGTTGGTGGTTTGGAACAGTCTCGGCCCAAAAACCTGTCAGTGGTAGACGACGCGGGCCAATAGTTTGGGTGTTTGTTTCTCTATGTTTGGGGGTGACACCTCAGAGCCATGTTTGGGTTTGTTTCAACCATGCTGGAAGGATCTGACTACGGGTGCAAAGGTCACTGTAGTTCTCGAAGATGTCATCTGGAGTAGCAATGCTGGAATTGGTAAGGTGGTGCCAGGTGGTCAAGTTACCCGTTTGAGTGGACTTATCCCCCCTGGTGCTCATGCTTCTGATCGCATCACCTTGGTAGGTTGCAAGTTCCTGGCCTTTGGACTGCTTGTTGACTTGGAAGTTGATGAAGCGTGCACTGTTCTGTGTCATCGTCCTTTGGTCATGAGTCACCTGTTCAACTTGGTTGAAGTCTGTGCTGGCGTTGGACTTTCTTCCTTGGGTTTTGAGCGTGCTGGTTTCAAACAGGTGTGTGCAGTTGAGAAGCAACCGAAACTTGCTGCCCTTCACCGGTCTGTCCATCCAGATGTCCCTGTTCTGTGTGCTGATGTCACTGAGGACACCACTGTCAGTCAGGTCTTTGCCCAATGCCAATTTCCTGCAACTGTCATGGCAGGATTTTCACGCCAGCCTTTCTCACGTGGGGGTTCACAGCATGGGGAACATGACAGCAGGTCATCATCGCTGCCCGGCACCCTGAGATTCATGCACCATTTCCAGGCACCTGCATTGATCTTAGAATGTGTGGTCCCAGCACGGGCAAACCAGTTTGTGCGCCAACATGTCCAAGCCCTCACAACACAGCTTGGATACCATGTGGTTGACTGCACTCTCAAGCTTGAGGACGTATGGGGTGCCTGTAGGTACAGATGGTGGGTCATTGCAACGCACCCGTGCATTGGGGCTGTCAAGATCCCCCAATTCCCCCAGGGTTGCTCCTTAGTAGTGAGGGATCTCATGCCGTATGTCCACCGTTGGCCTGCCGAGGATGAAGCACAACTTGCCTTGTCACCAGATGAAATCAAGAAGTTCCAGGCAGGAGGACTGACGTTGAAGCAGTGCGCAGTCAAACCTGAGCACAAACTGCCCACGGCACTCCACTCATGGGGTAACCAAACCACGGAATGCCCATGCCAGTGTAGGGATCAGAGCTTTTCAGAAGGACTCTTGATTGCCAAAGGGATTTACTCACAGCTTTTGCAGATGCCCCCCACTGCCGATGCCCCTGGACTTTGGCGTCATTTGCATGTGCTGGAAGTGTCACTGCTGAATGGAGTGCCTTTGAACCTTGCTTGGGGCCCAGAGCAAAGACTCAATCTGTGCGCAGCTGGCCAGATGGCTGCACCTATGCATTCGATTTGGATTGCATCCGCCTTAGCAAGACATGTCCAGTTGCTTTTTACCAATGACATGCCGCTTGAACCTCTCAAAATGCTCAGTGACTTGAAACATGAAGTTCTCCTTCAGAGCAAGCAGCTGTACCCTGACATTCCGGCAACGCCCAAAATGCCAGACCGTTGCTCAGTCGTGATCAAAGAAACGGGACATTCAGAATGGACGTTGTCATTCCATCCTGATGCCCGGATTCATGAACTTGTAGTTGCACACAGCCGCATGCATGATGTCCAGAGTGATGATGTTTGGGTGAGGGATCATGAAGACCGACTTGTGCCGCATGAATCTTTGATTGCAAGCCATGTCAGCCTGACCATTGGTTGCACCACAGACATGTTTGTCCAACAGCAGCCAGAAGCCATTTTGTTGGCCGCACCTTTGTGCACTGCTGATTTCGAAGATGATGCCAGTAGCCACGTGCCAGACACATTGGTTGATGCACCGCATGATAGGGATGGACATGAGGATACAGATGCAATCATGGACTTCGAAGATGCCCTGCCAGCCCTTACGAATGCAACCCCGGCTGCCCCTCAGCCCAATGTCCAAGATGGAACGGTAGGTGGACTTTTTGCGCTTGATGCCCACCAACTGGTCAGCCAATTGCCACCTTTAGTACGTGACATTGACCTTTGCCAAGCCATGCGTAGCCCTGCATTGACTGTACAGGCAAGAATCCAGCTCCTTGACCGACAGCAATCAGTGTGGGCAGATGACGAAATTTGGTGGCAAATGCAAGCCTTGAGTCCTTTGACCAAACAGTCCAAAGTTGCCATCCTTGACCCGTTGCTTGCCAACACATGGCTGTCAGTGCAAAGTGTTGAAGCCGTCCGCAGTTGGCTTGAAATCCAACCTCAGTTCGACAGAATTGCCTCAGTTGTCCTCCACCAAGGACACTGGTTGCCGTGCGTGTGGGTCAAGAAGCTTAGTGAGTTGGAAGTGCACATGTGGGAACATGACAGTGTTGACATTGATGCCTTGAATCCGTTACATGGAATCATTTGCCAGGCTCTCCAACTTCCGATGTTTCAAACAGCTTGCACCCGCCGACAGTTTGGCCTCACCAATTGCGGCGCAGCTGCCATTGCCTTCCTTCAGTACAAACTCCATGGCCTTGCATTACCCAGTGATGACCAGCAGTTGGAATTTGCAGCACAAAGCCTCAAAGAGGATTTCCGCCTGTCCCATGATGGATTTCAATACATGCCACGTCCATGGTGTTGGGGAGCGGGGGTGCCCGATGTAGTAGCCATCACTACTTCCCTTTTGCAGCAGCATGGCGTCCCGCAGAGTGCCTCAGTGTCGCGAGCCAAGCTTCTGACTCAAAGCCTCGGACATGACCAAGTGAAACAAGCTGTGCAAGGATCGTCTCCCTGGAAATCCTTGAAACATATGGCTAACCAACAGACCCCACCGTTTCAACTGGTGCTCCCAGATGAGCTTGCAGCCGTCCAACAAGATCGCAAAGCCAAGCCAAAGAAGAACATGCCTGCCAACGGTGCCAAAGTTGCACCCACGAGACCGGTCGAGGTGGACCCTTCACGACTTGAGCTGGCTGAGAACACGTTCAAAATGGAAGATGGCACCAGTGCACCACAATTGCAACTGTCTCAGGTGGGACCTTTGGCCACAGGTGTTGCTTTGGTATCTTACTCAGATGCTCTGCCGTTTTTGCAGTCCGGCCGTCAGTTGACAACCAAAGGATTGGCACTGTTGATCCTCAATGGCCCTGATGATTTGAACACCGCACTGACATGGACTTCCATACGTTTTGCGGCTAAGTGTGCCGTCAACCAACAACCAGTGCTTTTGTCAGGGTTCCTTGTCCAGCTGGGCAGTCAAGCAATCGGTCCATACTTCAGGTCTGATGGCCAAGTGGTTCCAGATGTCCCAGTCGCATGTGCCAGGATCACAGCGTTTGCCGACCAGTGGCCACAAGATTGGGAGACGTTTTCGTCGCATCCGTTCAAACATTTGCTTGCCATGTTGCCGCCGCTTCAGTCGTGTCGACTTGACCAATGTCAGTGTGAGAAGTGGCATCAAGACCCAATGACACCGGCCACAGATGTTCTTTTGGATGTCTTCAAACGCCAGTTTTACACAGATGCAGGTCGCCCCACTCGACCGAGTTCAGCCACACACTTCAGTGTACAGATCCGATACTTGAAGTCTCAAGAAGCCGCCCTGCTCCGTCTGTCAGGTACCAATGGGATCTACATTGAGCCGAGATTGCCAGATGCCACCTCGCCCTCAGATGAGTACCAGGTAGTGTGGTTGCCTCAGGCGTCCTTTGCCTCTGCACAGCACCAGTCGCAATGTGAGCCCCTCAGCATTGGTCTTGCCCGTTCAGGCAAACGTTTTGGTCTTAGAGTGTCAGCCAAACAATTCCAGCAGCTGTTTCAGAAACTGAAGCCCGATGGCCAATTTTTGGCACCAGGCACCAGACAGCTTTGGCACTGTGGACCATGGCCGTATGGCACAGACCGCAAGTCACTTGGCCGTATCTTCACTGAATGGACATGGCAGGCCAGGCCATTACAGCCGGTCAAACCGATCAATGGTGGAGTTATGTGGCTTGTACAATCAGTTGCCGATCCACCGCAGACAGTGCACAATTTGTCGCATGGCCAGGTAGTGATCTCACGCTGTGACTCACAAAGAGACGGCATGACCACCGTAGGCTCAGCAGTTGGTCCCCAAAGCACAGTGGAGCTTTGTGCAGCCATTTCCAGCCATGACCCGTGGCTTGTCCGTGATCCCTGGCAGCAAGCTATCCAACAGATGCCCAAACAGCCTGGACCCAACGTTTCCTCCCACTTGCAGGAACTGGAAGAGAGGATGACTCAGAACATCCTTGACAAGTTGCCTCAAGACCGCATGGAAACAGACGAAACTGAGAATCGCTTGCAGCTTTTGGAGCATGAGATGACCCTACTGGCGTCACGCCACCAATCGTTGGAGCAGACCGTCTCCGAGAACCATCGTCAAAACTCTGCCCAAGTCCAGACCTTACAAGCCCAGATGATGTCCCAAATGGAAGTTCAAAGCTGCCAGATGGCCAGAATGTTCGAGGACCAAATGACGAAGCTGGAGACCATCTTGTCGAAGAAAGGTCGGTATGAGTGACGGTGTGGCAGCCACAGCCAAAAGTCCCGACCTGTGGCGAGCCCATGTTCACGGGCAACCAGGTTTCTTTTGTGGTTGATCATGATGTTCAACTTTTTCAGCATGGCCCAGTGTAGGATTGGAGAAGCCAAGACGCCAGGACCGTCTGCAGCCGCCAACTCTAGCACTTGGTCGTTGGGGATTTGTAACCCATCCGGGTTACTGGGAAAAAGTGTTTTGCTTTCCGGGATTGACACCGACGTGATTGCAGTGTCCGAAACCCACTTGACAAAGGTATCCCGCACCATGCTTGTGACCAGCCTCAGGTCCCATAGCCAGTACACCACTGTTGTGACGGGTTCCCCTATGCAAGCTAGGTTAGCTGACAGTGCCGCAGGTACCTACTCAGGGGTAGCAGTAGTTGCTAAAGTTCCATCACGCGCACTTTGCGCTGCCTGGCCGCCTGACCTTTTCCAGACCGGCCGAGTTCAGATCGTGGGCAGTTTGCTCAACAATGTTTGGGTCACCGGTGCAGTAATGTATGGGTACCCCCAAGGTAAGATCCACCATAATGCCTTGGAAAGGACTTCAGACATGCTTGCTTTTTTGGTTGACCATCTCACTACAGTGGCATCTGGACCCCGATACTTGTGTGGTGATTGGAATTTTGAAGCCGCCCAACTGCCCATCACCCAAAAGCTCCTGCAACTTGGATGGAAAGAAGTGCAAGACATCCAATACCATCGCACGGGCCTTATGCCACAATGCACGTGCAAACGGAGCACACAAAAAGATGTCCTTTGGCTTTCTCCCGAACTTGTGGCCAGTTTTGTGGACCTGAACATTGAACACGATCGCTTTCCTGATCATTCGGTGCTCAAAGCCACCTTCAGCCTGAGTTCTGAACATGCCCTTAGGTTTCTATGGCCAATGCCACTGCCTGTGCCATGGCCAAGAGTTCCAGACCTGGAGCATCCGGTAGCCTTTGACACTGCACCGCCCACGCAACAATACCAGAAGCTTTGGACTTCCAAAGAAAGCTTGGCGGCCTCTGCACTAGGCGATCAATGGAATCCTTCCATGCAAGGCCGAGGCCAACGCCTGGCACCTACCCAGCGTAAGGGTTGGACAGCCCCACCCAAAAAAGGCCGGAGCATAGATGCTCAACCCATGTTCCATGGATACAATGTCCAACATGCCAGGTGGATGAAACAACTTCGCCGGCTGCAGAACTACATGCGTTGGGCTCAGCATCACTATGGACATGCATCCAGTGAAGAAGCTCTTCATGGCCTATACCTGTGGAAAAGCATTCTCAATGCGCATGGTTTCGGCAGTTCTTTCCAAACATGGTGGCGCTCACGAGAGTCCATTGGACTTGGTGACCCTGGATTTGTCCCGGATTTTCCCCCACCTGCTGATGTTGCCCAGGCCATAGGTGACATTTTTCATAGTGAAGTTGCCATCTTGGAAAGAAAACTTAGTGCAGCCAAAAAAGCCACCAGGATCAGCCAGCACCAGCGTGATGCCAATCTTATCTACAAGGACACCAAACGCACCCCACCGGAGCCAGTAACCAGTTTGCTGATCACCCAAAGGGCCGTGGTGACTGAGATTGATGACCAAGATTGCGCAGTGGATTTTGAACCACCGAGTTGTTTCGATGAATCCAAGCCAGTGCTAGTTGGCCACAAAGCAGTGCCAATTATCCATGCCACCGAGAATCGCCTTTACCTTGAAGACCTGTCTTCCATGCAACCTGAGACAGTTTTGCACCAAGCCCAGCCACTTGGATCTCTGCCTGAGATTTTTGCAGCGTTTCACGAACAATGGCAGCAGAGGTGGTGTCGTCACGACGATATTCCACACAGCAGGTGGCAACCCCTGATCGACTTTGCCAGAGCCACCATGCCCAGACAACCAGTTGATCCGTTGCGTTTGACACCAGAGCTTGTTCGCGCAGAAGCCGCTGCCAAAAAGACCCATGCTGCAACTGGATTGGATGGCGTCAGTCGATTGGACGTTGTACAGGCCGATGATATCATGCTGAGGAGCATTTGCTCTATGTACACCCGAGCAGAGACCACAGGTGAATGGCCAGCTCAGATCACAACCGGCCGTGTGGCTTCCTTAGCTAAAAAGGAAGGAGCAGCTACCACCAATGAGTTCAGACCTATAACCATCTTTTCTATGCTCTACAGAGTGTATAGCAGCCTTCATGCCAGAATGCTCCTGCAATGGTGCGACCAGTGGGCACATCCAGATGTCCACGGAAACAGGAAAGCCCACAGTACAACACATCTGTGGCGCACCATTGTTGCAGACATTCAGGTTGCCTATGACCAAAGCCGAACGTTGAGCGGCCTGACGGCTGACATCGAGAAATGCTTCAATTGCCTTCCACGTTGGCCCATCCTTGCAATTGCCCTTCATGCTGGTGCACCCGCATCAGTCCTTTGTGCCTGGGCAGGAGCCCTTGCCAGCATGACCCGACGTTTCAAGGTTCGTGACTCCTACAGTGAAGGCTTTCTCACGAGCACTGGACTTGCCGAAGGCTGTGCCCTTAGCTGTTTTGGAATGCTGTTGCTGGACGACTTGTTGCACAGGTACATCCAAATGCAATACCCTGCCATCAGGGTTCTCAGCTTTGTGGACAACTGGGACTTTTTGACTTGGGATCCCACAGTTGCCGAGCGCCAACTAGATGCCTTGTTGGATTTTGCCCAGCTCACTGACCTTACGGTCGACCGCAAGAAAACGTTTGGATGGTCCACGTCCGCCGAGGTCAGAGCCGCCATGCGTGCCAGTGGTCTCCCAGTTTTGCACTATGCTCGAGATCTAGGTGCTCACATTGGCTTCTCACGCCAGCGTACCAATCGCACCGTCATGGACAGACTCGAAGGGCTTCAACCCTTTTGGCAGCAACTCAAGCAGAGTCGTGCCGGCTTCAAATCAAAACTCCGTGCCTTACGCACAGTAGCATGGCCGCGTGGCCTCTATGCCATTGAAAGTGCCCCGGTGAGCTTCAGTACGTGGACGACACAGAGAAGGCAGGCGGTCCAGGCCTTGCACTTTGACAAGGCAGGGATTAACCCACTGCTGCTGCTTGGCTTGGTTGAAGCCTATGTTGACCCTGAGTTTGTCGCTGTCCTCCGTACGGTTTCGGAAGCTCGACTCCACAGCCCTCTGGACTTTTGGGCGGGTGAACTGTTCCCCTTGGCCAGTGGATTTGTGGAAAGTCCCCCGACGTCCTTGGCGACGATCTTGCTGGACCGTGTCCATAAGCTTGGCATTGTCATCCATCCTGATGGTCAATGCGAAGACCAAATCGGAAAGTTCCATCCAGGCCTTGTCAACCATACCGAGATGTGTCACCGCCTGCACTGGCAGTGGAATCAGTACGTGGCCAGCCTTACTGCCTATCGTAAAGACTTTGCAGGGCTCAACATGGTCGATGCGACTGCCACTCGACAGTGCCTTGCCAAATTGGCACCAGATGATCAAGCTTACTTGCGTGTCAGCTTGGCTGGTGGACTTTTCACACAAGATGCTCACAAGCATTGGAACGACCAAGCCGGTCACTGCAAGTGGTGTGGCCAAGCACACAAACGATTGCATCAGGCGACCAGCCAACACGATGCGTGGATGATTTGGCACAACAATCAGGTTGATGCGGTGGCAAAAAGGGCTAATTTGGCCCGATCACAGGAGTTTTGGAAGTGTTGGCAGGTACATGTGGATGCAGTACAGACAGCAGCAGTCCTACATAGGCAGGTGTGTGAGCTACACTTGGCAGTGGCTAAGCGTAGCACACAGGCTGATCGTGAGCAGACGTTGGATGATGTGGCACCACCGGTTCAGCGACCGACCAGAACTTTTCCTATGAAGTTTGACAAGGGGGAGTGGACAGGTGAAATGCCTCTTGCCTTCGCCAATGAATACGGCGCTGGCCTGGCACAGAGAATTGTGCAATGGTGGCTTGCGCGTACATCAGGTACAAGTGTGGGACCGGTGAGGTGGATCACCTTCGCACATTTGTACGTTGATTACCAACTTGCATGGGGCTGCCCAGGACCAGTCAAGAGTGGAAAAAGATGGCTTGATCCATCAACCAGGCCTTATCTCGATCCAGAGCGACATCCTTTTCTCCATCGACTGAAATGGTTCAAACGCTGCTTGAAGGTTCTATGGAAACACACCCATCAGACCGAAGGATTGGCGTTTTGCCGTGGCGAAGGAGACAGCATCCAAAGTTTTGTGGCCACAGCATCACTGCAATGGTGTACTGCTAGCTGGGCCGGCGCGGAGCTGTGGTTGTCCCAGGAGCTCGAAAAGCCTTGCCTCAGAGGCACTGATAGCTTGAAGGCGTTGCCCCTTGCGAAAGCACAAGGTCGATACGCCATTTCAAGGGACACTGCAATCGTCCCCGGCATCTTCAATGCCTAAGGTGTCGTTCATAGACCTCACTCCTCACCCTGAGTAGGTCGACTCCCGAAAAGCGTGGAAAAGCGTGGTGGTTTGGAACATTTTTTATTTTTCATAATATATGGGATAATCCTTCTCATTGACTAATATTTTTCAAGATGGTTGAAACCACCAACCAGATACAATTCATTTAAAAACACACATAAAAACTGGTTTGTCTCATGTCACCCATGGCTGGTTTCTGCCAGGAAGCAGGCCGCATGTCCGCCAAGTACAGCGCAGTGGCGGAGAGAATCAGCGAAGCCTTACCCACGTCCGGGCTGCGCAGTGGGGGAGGATCATCGAGAGACGGGCTGCTTAAAGGTCCCTAATGTGTGGCGGTGACCACGCAAAAACAAAATGAGTACAAGAGAAAAACACTCATGTGGTTATGTACATAAATATGTATATATATATATATACTGGTTGGTGGTTTGGAACCATGGAATTTTGACTGACTTTCCATATATTGGGAATGGAAAAACATCCCAACTCACGAACTCATATTTTTCAGAGGGGTTGAAAACACCAACCAGTATATATATATATATATAAATATTAAGTTTATGGTTTATTGTGGAATCAGTTCCCAGTGGGATTACAATCGTTGGGTTTCAATCAGTGGGTATAAGTTATCATAAACGAAACAAAACAATCATAATGGAAACGGGTACACCACCCCCATTAATGATAGGTATATCTACTGTAAATCCAAGTTATGGGAGTTTTGTTCACCAATGAACTGGGCTACCACTTTGTATATAGTAGGGCTGGAGTAGAAAGAATATGAACAACAAACACATTAAAATTGGAATATTTTAGAAACAATTAGAAAATGCCATGATCTATCTACTCCAAGATGATTATAATACATTATATTTACATCCAAATTATTCCAACATAGTGACTTAGATAAAGGGGATAGCTCGGGACTTGTTAACCAGTGTCGCAAACTTTGCAAACCAGTCACGATTCGTGTCATGTTCCTCCAAGGAACCAACCAGAAATGCTGGATTGAAACACGGACCCAGCAATGGCTTTGTCTCGAAATATGGAAAAATAAAATGCACATTGTTTTTTTAAAACATTTACCATATATTTGTGTGCCATAGAGTTATGGCCATTAGTTACATCTGATTATAAATTATACATTCTATACATGGAGTTTTCTTAGCACTTATAACTGGTAACTGGGATGGGGTTTCCAAACATCATGGCAGCACTGCCTGTGGCAAGGATCAAGAAGATGGAGCAGATGGCAGCGGCTCGCGCGGTCTGGGTGCATCAACCCTTGCCTGTGACGGAGCCTCAAGAGGCGCTCACCTCTGGGATCGGGAAAGGGATAGGGCTACCTTTTGGGAAACTAACATAGCGAACTGGAAAATCACCATCTTTAATAAGTAAATCAACTATACATGTTCCATTTTCAATAGCTATGTTAAACTACCAGAGGGTATAGCACCAGTCATAGGATTTATATGGAGTTGTATGGGAAACATAGCTACTTTATTGATCTAGCTGCCTGGATCGCTACAGTGAGTTTCAACCCAAGGGGCCCAGCTTACCGCGCTTGTCATGTCATGAAATATGTTGTTTTTTTGCACAAACTGCGTAAAAACTAGCAGTAGTGTATGCAGACAAAAGACAACACAAGTGTTTGAATAATATTTATTTACATATATTTACAATAAATATATATATGATTATATATATATACAATTATATATATATATATCTACACGTGATTATATATATTCATAATTATATATATATATACATATATATATTTACATAATTATATATGATTATTATTATGTATTATTATTATGTCGTTTTTTTCATTTATTATTTTACAATAGTGTGCATAGTTGTACGAACATCCTGCCCATTTGTGATATGATATAGATACATAGACATATAGGGGTATGTGTATATCAGAATATATATATATATATTATATTCATATATACATTTACCGCAAACATGTACATTATAATATATATATATATATTTAATATGATATACACATACATAGCAGTCAGTATATATATATAGGTGGTGCCAAAATTATAGAACGAAATTGGGAGTACAAAAGTACGGTAAAATACCGTGCCTTCGTACTCCTCCGGATCCCGATTTCGCGCGGATTGGGATCTTGTTCTATGATTATTTTTTCTGTTCTATAACCAATTGTTCTGTTCTATAATTTCTGGCACTTCCATGATATCTATTGCATATTTGTATACAGTACATATTTACGCATATACCGTAGATACCCTTCTTGGAAAACCCCACAATGTGTTTATTTTGTGTACATATATTTGCATCATTTTATGTATCTTTCTGGGACCCCAGAAAAAAGTGACACAGAAATCAGAATTATAGAACGGTTTACGCAAAATTAATTATAGAACGGAAAAAATAAGTATGGAACGAAACTGGTAAATGTGGGAAAAATGGGGGAAACACAATTATAGAACAAACCAGAATTATAGAACGACGAAAACAAATGGAGTAAGTTAAGATATGTTTTTTTGGTTTAATACCTTCCGAGGAAAACAGAAGTATGGAACAACAGGGTACGGTACATAACCGTACCTTCGTACTCCTCAACTTCCGTTCTATAATTTTGGAACCGACCATACATATATATATATTTATCGAAGGAAGTTTAGAAGTCAAACTTCCGACAATATGGACAGCTGAAAAGCAGAGCAGGGAAGAGGCAGAGAGAAGAGGAAGATTAGAAGAAAGAAGAGTAGAAGAGAAAGAGTAAGAAGAAAGAAGATGCAGATGCGCGAAAAGGTAGGAAAGTCGCGAAACACTGTGGTTTTCCAATGATTTGTGGCTCCTGAGGGTCGAAAAGTAGGCTCGCTAAAGCGGCGGGTGCGGAGCCAGCTGGCCAGATGAGTGATGAAAAATTGCACGCCGTTGTGGCGCGAAGCAGATTTTGAAGTCAAAATGTACAAAACACACCAGCTTCGGACCACTTTTGGAAGTTGAGATGTCGAAAAAGTGTACGCCGTTGTGGCGCGAAGCACATTTCCAAGTCAAAATGTACAAAACACCACATGTTCGCGCCACTTTTGGAGGTTCGGATGTCGCTTCGCTTCACTACACTACATTACACTACACTACACTCCACCACACTACGCTCCACTACACTACACTACATTACACAACACTACAACTACAACTACACAACTACACTCCACTACACTCCACTACACTAAATTACACTACACTACACTACATTACACTACACTCCACTACACTACACTACATTACACTACACTGCACTACCTTCCACTATCTTCCACTACACTTCACTACATTACACTACACTCCACTACGCTACAACTACAATTACAACTACAACTACAACTACACAACTAAACTCCACTACAATACAGTCCACTACACTAAATTACACTACACTACACTACATTACACTACACTACACTCCACTACACTACACTACATTACACTACACTACCTTCCACTACACTTCACTACATTACACTACACTACACCCCACTACACTACACTACAACTACAACTACGACTACACAACTACACTCCACTACACTCCACGACACGAAATTGCACTACACTACGCTACATTACACTACACTACACTACATTCCACTACACTATTTTACACTACACTACATTACGCTGAATGACACTGCACCACAGATAGACAGGTAGACAGATAGACAGATAGATAGACAGACAAGGTAGACAGCTAGACAGATAGACAGATGACAGAGAGAGAGAGAGAGATAGATACATAGATAGATAGATAGGTAGATAGGTATATAGGTAGATAGGTAGATAGGTAGATAGGTAGATAGGTAATGAGATGAAAGAGAGAAAGAGAGAGATAGATAGATCGATAGATAGATACATAGAAGATAGGCTGGTAGGTAAGTAGATAGTCAGAGAAAGATAGAAAGAGAGGAGACCTCAAGCACCTTTCGGCCCATCAGTGGATTCGCTCTGCCATCCCTGATTCACAACAGCCAATCTCTCCTATAGGTTTCCATTTTTTGAAACTTCCGCCACCGCCTTGTGCGGTACTACTGGTATTTATATTATACACATATATGTGTGCGCAGTATATATTATATATACACCTGAATCTAAACAGATAGACATCATTGAATCATGCATCATCTCGCTGCTTGGTGAAATTCCCGGCTGATCGCAGTTGGTGAGCCTCACGGTGGCTCCTCCCCTTGCTGAGCCGGCGCAATAGTCAAATAGGGACTGTTGAAGAAGTGTGTCATATATGTATATATATATATAATATACATAAATATATAATATATGTATATATATATACATATTTTACTCATGTTGATGTGTAGTGTTGATATTGTGTTTTCATGTATGTATATATATATATATATATATACACAATTTTATGCATGTATATGTTCATATATACGTAAACACATGTTTCTGTGGTATCAATAGAAGTGGTACGGTACATCCGAACTGACGAGCCTCCGTTTCACTCTTCGCACTGACCGCGATACTGACCGTGCGCGACACTTGTCGCAGCGACAAAAGAAAACAGATCCAGGGGGCCCCTCGGAGGCACCGGACATCTCGATAAATGTTAGATATATTTCATAAATCTGGGTAGATTATAACGACCTCACTGCGATGTCACTGGAAATCACGGTTAGTAAGGGGAATCATCCCCAAATGGTCTTAATTCAGGTTAGTGAATTATTATAATTTACCCAGATATATACCTGGCATTACATGGCCATAACATGGTCCATCAAGGACAGTGGCATAAGAATCAATCAATGAGAACATAAACCAAAGCCAATGGGAATTTCAGGATCCTAAAATGGAGGTACTGTACCATAATAGGCCTTAGAAATAGGCCTTATATATGGTAGGTACCTCCAATCAATAGGTTGCTGCAATGGCTATTAAAAAAGGAAAACCAGGGTTTGTTACGCGCGAATCTTAACCACCAATACACCATGGTTTTGGGCCCACATCACCATCTATTGTTGGGGGACCACTCTTGGTCAAGAAGCCATAAGGAGGTGATTGGAATCGGACTTGGTCATGAAAACACGTATAAAACACGGTGCCCCCCTAGTGATGTGAACATTGGTTTGAAACCACCACGAATGCTATAGTGATATCTACCATAAACCATAGTAAATCACGTGGTTTTTGGGGGGAATGGATTGTAATGATCATCCTTTTTTGGGTTAATAGTTTACTCATGACTCTTGTCTCTTGCTGCAGATGGAGCAAGCAATCTAGGCCATGATGCTGGGATTCCAATGAGATGCTTAGGCTGTCACGGGAGTTGCCAAAAAGATCGAACAGTGCGGCTCGTGAAACAATGATGGTTTAGTTTGATGTACTTATATATATACATATCTATTCATATAAATATATATTTATATAGACCATATGCATACAGATTTCGTGCATTACTACTGTGGATGGTTGCAATATCCTGCACCACCTGGGATGTTAGAAAACTTAGAAATAATGGGATGTTTACCACCTATGAACTTGTGCAGGATCTCGCAACCATCCACGGTAAAGAAATCGACTCGTCACTGCGTCCTTGGAGTCCTGGGCTATCCCAGTCGTGGAATGGCGAAGAAGAAGATGTAGCCCGGCTAAGCAAATTCGAAAGTGGGATAGCACATGATAGCACCATAGTTACCCTCTGGTTATTTAACATAGCCATAGAAAATGGTCCATTTATAGATGGTTTAACTATTAGACAGTGTTATTTTTATTTTCCATGGCTATGTTAAATAACCAGATGGTAAATCCTTTGTTTAGTGATAAAAACATTTTGGCTGGTGAGCACATCATTGCTTAAACTGCCAATTACTAATGTTTGATGGTTACATCATCATTTGGGGAAAGACAAAACATCCCCCACAGAAAATTCATTATTCATCGGTAAAATCACCAGTTTTGATGCTTAGAAAATCTAATGTTCACTATTTCGAGACTTCTTTAAATCTTCATGTTTCATGCTAAAATCACTGTGTCAGACATATTTTGGCCGCGTCCACACTTTTCCCGCCCGTTTTCTTCATCTCGCTGCGGCCGCAGGACCTGTGCCGGCGTCTACAGCCCGAAGTGGGCCGGGGCGAACGGAGCGAAAAGCTCTCGGCGGCTCCTTGGAGCGAGTTCATGTGCGAACGGGGCGAACGGTGCGAAAACGTTGGGACTGTTCCATCCCTCTAATACTGGTAAACTAACATAGCTATTGAAAATGACCATTTATAGTGGATTTTCCCATTGAAAATGGTGATTTTCCATAGTTATGTTAGTTTACCAGAGGGTACTGGTTGGTGGTTTGGAACATTTGTTATTTTCCATACATTGAGAATGTCATCATCCCAACTGATGAGCATATTTTTCAGAGGGGTAGGTATACCACCAACCAGAATATGAAACATGCCCTAAATGGTCCCAATTATGTGTAAAAATCTCATACTAAACCATGGTTTCTGGGGGTAGTTAAATACTAGCGGGATGGGATTATTTATGAAACCATATCAAGTTAAAGTAGGGAGATGGTTAGTTGTCTATAATATCGAAGATAAACATATATTGTATAACATATTTATGAAAATGGTTTCATGGAAATTCACATTAACTAGTTTGATTCCATGGAAATTGAAGTGATAGCTATGAAATACCATAGGAACACCTTACTAATATGATAGGAATCTATAGTCACAAACTAGTGACTGTTATTAGTCTTAAATATAGTTATACTAATATGAAAGTATTATGTAGAGTAACCTAATATGGATTCATATTATGGAAATGGTTCATCGAAAATAAACGCTAATGTTAATATGATTAATATAAATATATATAATATGGTTGGTGGTTTCAAACATTTTTTTTATTTTCCATAATATATGGGATAATCCTTCCCATTCACTAATATGTTTCAAGATGGTTAACACCACCAACCAGTCTATTATTAACCATCATTAACCACATAATAACAATGTATTAACCATAAATAATCATGGATAATCCTTCCCATTCACTAATATTTTTCACGATGGTTAAAACCACCAACCAGTTATTTATATATTCATGAAGAGCTACTGGACTAAGTTACGAATGGTTACTAATATTAATATAATGTATAAATGGATTAAAACTATGGTTACTAACCGGTTACGAGTCGTGGGATACTCCTTAAGAAACCTGTTGATCGTAAGTCCACCATTTCTGAGCTATTCCGTTTAGACATATTGCTGAACTAACTATGGTTACTAACCAGTTGAGGTTAAAATCACCAACCAGTAGTATATAATATGAATATATGGTGCTATGAAAATGACATGAAATGACTTCGCGACGTGACGTCACTGTGATGAGTACGCAGGAACTGTCGACCTGGAACGAGCCAGCGGTGCAGGTGTTAGGTAAGTGGACTTAAGTGGACTTAAGTGGACTTAGGTAAGTGGGGTAAGTATTCAATAGTACTATATATTCTATATATATATATCCTTCTACCTAGAGAAGCCAATACCTACAAAAATATAAATCGCAAGTAAGAAACCTATCATATCAACGCAATTGTGTGGAACGCTCACTCCAAGCGGGATGGAAACGGTCGAGGATCTGGACAGAAACATTTTTTTCTCAAACATTTTAATTTGAACGTGACTTAAAAAATGTGGAGTGAGGGGAATTGGAGGTAAATGGATCTTTTGGGAAATGTCAGTGAAATGGTGGAATTACCAAAACCACGGTTTTGGAAAAACCTGTTTGTTTAAGAGAAAAGCTTGGTTTTTAACCAAGAACCGTCACTTTTATAGGTTTTGGGTTCTCTAGGTAGTAAGTAAAGTATACACTTACGTATGTCAGTAGTGACTCAAGTTGATTCAGATGACATGGCCGTGACAGTTGAACCGTCACAGCCCTGGGATGCAGACCTTGCGGTTCACTCCGAAGTACGCAGCATGCGAATCATCCATGCTGAACCAGATAAACTCTGGGTGAAGATCGCTGAAAGTGTCATGGGTCAACAGGTAAAGCAAAATGAATACTTGGGTAGCTTCGGGAATGGATCTAAATTTTGCAAATCGACACCTCCAAGTCCCAAGAAGTTCTGGGTATCCCATTAATTCCCAATAATATATAATTATTAATTTGAATATATATATATATATATGTTAATTTACCAAGTTAAATCCCAATTTTTGGTGGTTTGTGTTGTCAGGATGGTCCCCTTCCACCCATGTGGCTTGGAGCAGATCCACGGCATCAGGAAGAGCTGCTGCAACGCATCCGAGCGGCGCTGAAAAGCGGAGATTGGCTCAACATCACGGTCCGGGACTGATGAGTCCCGCGGGCTGACCCCGTGGAACATGTTTTTTCCCCACCTGCCAGGTGAGGGTTTTTAGATTTTATCAGAGTTGTTCTCCTCCTCCTCCTCGTCCTCCTCCTCTAGTTTCTCCTCGACCATGTCTGCATCAACTTCCACCTCCACTTCCGCCTTGCCAACTCTTCGCCAAGCTCTTTGCCAACTCTCTTCGCCAAGCTCTTTGCCAACTTCCCAGCTCAGTGTGCACTGGGACCTCAACCTGGGACCTGCCCAGCTCAGTGTGCACCGCTGGACCTCAACCGGGGACCTGCCCAGCTCAGTGTGCACCGCTGGACCTCAACGGCCAGATAGAATGCCAGAAGATATGCCAGATGGAATGTCAGATAGAATGCCAGAAGATATGCCAGATAGAATGCCACAAGATATGCCAGATAGAATCCCAGAAGATTTGCCAGATAATATGCCACAAGATATGCCAGATAGAATCCCAGAAGATTTGCCAGATAATATGCCAGGAGATATGCCAGAGAGAATGCCAGAAGATTTGCCAGAAGATATGCCAGATAGAATGCCAGATAGAATGCCAGAACATATGCCAGAAGATATGCCAGATAGAATGCCAGATAGAATGCCAGAACATATGCCAGAAGATATGCCAGATAGAATGCCAGATAGAAAGCCAGAAGATATGCCAGATGGAATGTCAGATAGAATGCCAGAAGATATGCCAGATAGAATGCCAGAAGATATGTCAGATAGAATACCAGAAGATATGCCAGAAAGAATGCCAGAAGATTAGCCAGATAGAATGCCAGAAGATATGCCAGAAGTTATGCCAGATAGAATGCCAGATAGCATTCCAGAAGATATGTCAGATAGAATGCCAGAAGATTTGCCAGTAC